AACAGGAAAATTCTGAACTCACACATCACTACCAGGTAAGTGCATACAGCTATGTCTGCAGTAGAGCTCAGACCAGATGGGTTATTCAACGTCATTTTCCCTCTGTTGGTTTCGTATAAATATAAGGACAGCAACTGTTCCTCGGTGCTTCATATATACAATCCAGATTCCACGAATGTTCCATTTAACCTTGGGGAAGTTTATGTACATTACATTATCTTTTTTACTCAAGTAGAGTTTTGTTATTTTAGTAGAATCTTCCAAACTATATATATTTATTCACAATGCGTATACCTTTAGCATCACACATCCATTAAAACTGGGTGGCACACATGTTTGTTTCAATTTATTGAAATGAAATAAAGAGGACTATTCTTTTTACTCTTCTTACTTGAATATTCAAGATATTATGATGCTCTTATCTAAGGTAATCATGGATTATGTCCAATTATTATTTCGCGGACATTTGATCGTTTTGAAGATCAGTACTGCTGTGGAGGTTGACAATATCCAGACACGTTACAGGATTATGAATATAACTTTATTATCATTTGATGGAAAGGCAATATTTCTGTAGTTACCTTTTTTCTATCAGTAGTATTACTAGTATTCACGATTAAATGTTCTCAGTACAAATGACAATTCTTGTGAAACTGAAATAAACAAACTGTATGAAAGCTCAGTACATCAAACAATGAACAAACTATGAACTGTGTCTATGCTATTAAATCTTAGAAACAATTTATGACCAATCAAGTCTTATATAAGCTCCATTCAAACGCAATGTTCAAAATATCGATGACACATCAGGCATATGTGAAAGCAATGGTGGATACTCCGGAAGTTGCCAAGTGTTCATTGACTTCACGATACATGTTCGACCAACATCAACACAAAATCATTAGTTTGTAGTTTAGGGTGTGTAGTAACTTACTTACGATGCACTGGGAATGGATTCTTTCAGTTTCAAGGTACTGTACACGTCTTCATTGATATTAGCAGCACACATCGTTTAAGGAACACCAGGTGGTAGAAAAACAAACTTTGTCTTGAGTGTACTTGATGTGACTTATGAATTTAAGTTTATATTTGTTATCGACCGGTTATTAACTATATCCTCTGCTTCAATTATAATAGTTTTTCAATATTATTTAAACTCATCATCAAGTTCGTTACCAGCAGAGTTTATTGACTTCAATTTGTTCCGCTGTAGAGAGTATGAAATAATAATAGGTCAAGAAGTCAAAATAACAAACCTGATCAGCTTTTGTTCGATCAACAATGTAGGACACTCAAACTTGTTGTTACCCAGGAACTAAATAGATTAAGAAATAACAGAAACGAGGACTATATTGAAAAACTAAAATCATGTAAACACAAGAATAATGACATCGGTCAATACATAAAATTGTGTCAAACAAATTGTGGTTCTTAGTGAAGGATAACACAGCTTGATCAACAGAAAAAACGTGAAGATTAGTAAAATATTGTTTCAGTCTGTTTAACATATTTGGTTCAGTGAATGACGAATATTCCGACATATTCAAAAACATTGGCAACGAATATTGATTTTCTTCACTGGACAGAGTGATAGGTATTGATGAGGGTAATCAATATTTTATAAAATTAAAAAGTAGCAAATAAGGCGTAAGATTTCCGGCGAATTACCCTGTTGCCGATTATCGGTAAGATATTCTGTTCCTTTTTTTATTCAAGACATATTTGGTTACAAAAACTTGTTTGTAGATGAAGAGCCCGGTTTCTATAAATCATAATCCACTACAGGTCACAATTACCTCTAAATATTTAGCACATCAAAAAGGCAGATTAGTACTCACTGTTTTATAAATTGCTAAACTGTAAACTTTATAAAGTTTCGAGAAGAGGCGGACGATTGAAACATTACGTGAGTTGGTAATGATGACAATGAGCCCATGTCTGTAACCAAATGGCATCAGAAAGTTACCTTGTTACCTATATTGTTAGTTTTGACATGATGGTGTATAACCTGTTAATAGTGTTGGCGTCTCCACAAAAAGGCCTTATAAAACTAGCTCATATTCTGTTGTTTATCGCCATCCAACGGCACCCTTTCTGTATACCCTGTATTTATGATTTTACTCATAAAAGTCAAGTATACTGTTTTTGTATTGTTCATTATTAATCAGTTGACAAACGTATAACAGCCATTTGTTTATTGTTTGGTAGCCTTACATCATCCTGACAGCGTGAACTTTTTAAATGGATTTCAAATGGTTACCCTTTTTAGAAATCGTCAACTAACACCATCTCTACCTCTGTTTTGTGGCGAAAAGAAACTTGCTTTAGAAGTGCCAATCTGGAACAAGTCAGGAAGAATCATTGTATTGTCAACCAAGGCGGTGCGGTTTGTTTTTCCGATTTTCTCACGAAATTGGAAACGCACTATCGTCAAGACCGAAACTGGCAGCTAGTGAATTTAGTTCCACTATGAAACCTCAGGGGTTTACAGTAAATCCATCGGCCAAGACATATGAATGTATTATTGATGACATGCAAAAATACGAGGCCTCACGGACATTTTTTTAAAATAATGCATATTACATCAATTTGTCTACACTTGGAAAGCCATACTAGCCACAAAATTTGACGTACGTCTGTCTGAGCCAATAGTGTGATACTAATGCATCATTGTCAGAACGTATTGAATATGCAAGGAACTTATTATGTGCTAAGTAAATTGAAATAATAATCAATAAAGCGTTTTCTGTTATTTTGTTGGAAGGTTATAAACCCTAAATGCTTATAACCCAATATCGATTTAAAAGTCTGGAATTTCTTCTTTGCTGCTATTTGTTTATAGTACACTCTCTAAAACGAATTATCTCTCATTTTTCACTTTACTTCCTATAGTTGCTTGATGATATAACTGCAAATTTGAATCTGTTATTATGTTCCAAATACATTAAATCAGTATGTACTGATTCATTTTACAATAATAAAGGTATATTATATTTTTTGTTTAGACATCAGGAATCGTTCTCAGAGTAGTAACCAGCTGCACTCTTCAGGTTTCTGAATAAATTGTCAACAGACTTCTCTCTTTCATTTGAACGTGTAGTTGGTAATATGAATCATGATACTTTGCGCCACTTTTCCACTATTTTGCACCTAGTTTCGCTTTTTGCACCATTTTCCCGCGCCTTTGCACCTAATTTCGCATTTTGCACCACTTTTCCACTATTTTGCCTTTTCCACTATTTTGCACCTAATTTCGCATTTTGCATCACTTTTCCACTATTTTGCACCTAGTTTCGCCTTTTGCATCATTTTCCCGCTATTTTGCACCTAGTTTCGCCTTTTGCACCACTTCTTCCGTGTTTTTTTTTATAATTATTTTTTTTCAGTACAGTACAATGAGAAAAATAAATTAACCCAATAACAAAATTAGCAAGCTTGACGACGGTACTACGTGGGAAAATTTATTACCAAACTTTTTCAATGTAAAATATAAAAATTAATAAAATTACTTAAAATGCTTAAATACAATATTACTAGGGATTATCCAGTAATAAGAAAAATCGTTCTTTTGTTGATTGTCATGGACGTCGGCTTTGCTGCTAGGCGTGGTCATAGTTGCTAGAGTGTTATGTAATACAAGAAAGAATGCTCCAAATTATATACAACATATGAAGGAATTTGGTCAGTAAAATAAAAAGTTATGGTGGTTTAAATAGAACAGACACTACATTTATAGGATGAAATATTTGTTATAACCCCTCTTCGACCAAATTAGGGGGTCTTATCTTTCGTAAAAATAATTGTGGTCTATTGACCTGTATATTTCCAATGTAAACATCAAATAAATATAAACCCAATTTAGAAAAACTGATACAGCAAGAAAGCATATATACCCCTGACAATGCAATAATATGTATGTGTTATGTATAGCGTATAATATAATTAATGGATTAATTCACTACAACTTAAGTAATGGTACCTACATGCACATTCATGGAAGATTTTTTTTCATCAGAATTGCATATACTAACACATGAATCATTTTAGGAATTAATTAGAGGTTATAAACGGCGTTTTGTGACGGTTGTAATACTTCTAGGCGGAGAATTATTATACTTAGCGGGAGATAATAACCGACGTAATCGTAAACGCTCTTCTTAGAACCACAGTTCCTCTATGACAGAACATAAGCATAGATGGGCAAGGCGCGACACAATCGACAACAATTTTAGTATATTTCAACGAATCAGCAGCAATACACTATTTCCGTAAAGAAATGAGGCAAGCAAAGTAAAAAATAGTGAATCTTTACAAATACGTCTATTCACAAAACGGACGACCACCATGAACAGTGTTCACAGTCGTGTGATCTCGATTCAGTTAGATATTTATGTCAGTTATTCATCAGTTTCGGGCGAGATCACAGTCAACTATTTAATGTATGTATGTATACATGGAATTGTATTCAGGCCTAGTTTATAATTAGATCTAAATAATTCTTAAATATTGTTACAGCAAATAGAAAACATGAGAAGTATCACTCCACCATATCTTTATTTTTTGTTCTCTTTTTTGAATATTATTTTCACACAAAAGTTTTCCAACGCTAAAACAGGATTGATCCTGGCAGAAGGATTACAATATAATATAAGCTTCGAACATTGCAACATTGCTGTAACTATCACCAGGTTGTCTATCTTCACGCATATGAATGTCGTTCCTTTTCCTTTCTGGTATTGTATACATCATATATGTCTACATGTTATAATTAGTGTGTATCGCATGAAAAAACATGGATGACACCTTTACTAAAACACATTCCCGGTTTGATGACGTGGGTTGCAATCATCCAAGTCATTCTACTTTTTTGGGTTATGACATTAAAGTTTGTTTCATGCTGGGGGTACACAACTGACACACTTGAACTATTGTCATTCGGACATTATGACGCCCCGTGTAAGCATTATTCCTATAGACACGAAGTCTTGCGCTGTGTAACGATGTATAGCAGAAGACCAATATGACATATGAACTACATTTGGTAATCGCCTATTGTAATATAATCCATAACATGAGAAGAACGACTCATCCTCTTGATAACAATTTTCAATCGTCTTGCTGTACACCGCTCACATCACTAATTGACTGGATAAGATGACAAATCAGTGACAATTGAGGTAACATTTTCTCGTCAAAGTGGCTTTTATTCCTACTGGTTTATTGACCATGAAGTCGTGTTACACAGAATTAAGATTAAGATTAAAAAGGAAAATTGTGGCTCCATTTTGCCTGACTCGTGTTCTTCATTAAACGCCAAGCAACACAATTCATAGTTCAATATCAAATTACAGCTAAAAGTAGTGAATGCACTCTTACAATGACTAATCGGACATGCTTGATTCAAATATCCGACGTCACAAACAATGTGCAGAATACATTTCCGTACAAGCCAAGTCCAAGTTATCATTCTATATTCACCATGTACTAGTATAGGGAAAATATAATATATATATTTAGTATGAAATATAATTTGTTTGATAGATTTGTCTGAAAATGGGTATAGAAAAAATAACATCCGGAACGTGCTTTGTGTTTTCATTGATCAGGGGTCAAAGAGAATACAATAACGAACATTATTGTAGCTCATAGGTCACATAGCTCGGCGTATATTAATTATTAATATCCCGGGGCATTAAGATGTTGTTGTTTTTTAATGAAAACCAACAGTCAGATATGCTTATTTGATATCCGCGCCTGCACCGTAATGTTTTCAAGTGTGTTACAATATTGTTATTATTGGTGTTGAAACCATCTTCCGACTAATTCAACCAAATAATATTGATCAATGATGCATTTGTACATTGAGTGGGTTGTACATTGGCAATACATAACACGATTGTGATCGATTTAAAATAGATATTTGACATTGTATTTAGAGTTAATTCATGTATGTGGTTTTATTACATCAGTTTTCAATTGAATAGTTGTGATTCTAATAAACCATTCATGTATGCTTGTTCTAACCTTCTCTAACCTTAAATCCACTTATATTGTTCCATGTATATACCGCATGAAGTGCGCTACAAACTAACCAATAGCAGCACTTCAATGATTTGTGTCACAAATTTTAGCAACACTTATTATTTCGAAAATGAATGAACAGTGCACATTTCAAATTTTACTAGAAATGATTTTTATAATGCAAATCACTACTGCATAGTAGGAAATATTAGAGAACACAATAAATGGCGCCCTCAAACTAGCGAATACGTATCTATATATGAATCATTTTTACCAAAATTAAGGCGTTGAGGACATTCATAATGTCCTCAGCGTTCATACTAAATGCAATGTATTGCAGCAAGGAGTTACTACTAGTGTAGTGTAGTGCAGTGTAATGCAGTGTAGTGTAGTGTAGTGTAGTGTAGTGTAGTGTAGTGTAGTGTAGTGTAGTGTAGTGTAGTGTAGTGTAGTGTAGTGTAGTGCAGTGCAATGCAGTGTAGTGCGGTGCGGTGCGGT